GCCCAGCCTTATTGTCATTTCTATTGCTCCAGGAACTGTATTGGATGCTGTGGTGCAAAGGTGACCAAGAGCATAAAAAGAGTGAAGTCCTGTCACATGCTATAATGTGAATGAGCCTTGAAAACATGGTGCTAAGTGAAAGAAGCCAGACACAAAAGTCATATAGTACATGATCCCACTCACATGAAATACTCAGAATAGGGAAATCCACAGAGACAGAAGGCAGATTTGTGGTTGCTAGGGGTTGAGAGAAGGGGAAAATGGGGAGTGACTCCTTACTGGGTGCAGGGTTTCTTTTTGGGGTGATGAAAAAGTTTTGGAACTAGATGGAAGTGGTGGTTGCACAACATTGTAATGTTGTGGATGCCACTGAATTGTACACTTAACAAAGGTTAATTTTATATTATGTGAATTTTACTTCAGCAAACCAGTTCAAAGTAGGGCATTCGGGTATGACTGTCAGCACTATGACCATGCTCACAGAAAGGGGAGGGGTGCCAAAAGGCACAAAAAAGAGAAATTAAAGGGCACAAAAGACACATTTGTGAAAGCTGATTATACAGATTGGGTCATTCTTGTCATACTCAAATAAATCAGAGTCAAGGGGTGGGAAAAGTACTCGAGCACTCGGAACACATACCACCTGCTCCAAGAATTTTTCCACAAGGCGGGCTGCTGAAACTGCCTGTTGTAACCTGAAACCAGTTTTTCTAACAGCTACTGAAACAACCTGCTGCGATTCTAAGACTGGTTTTCCCAACGCCATCACACACCAATCAGAGCTTGCAGGCTCCCCAAAACTTTACTAGTGCCAATGAACTTTCTTTCAAAACAATACATAACATTTCTCCTTTTTATAAAACCTCCAACCTTCTCTTTGTTCTTTGGACATACTGAAGACCACCCAGTCTGTGTGTATGCCCTGAATTGCAATTCTTGCTTCCCAAATAAAACGTTAAATTTAGATTCTTCTCTACATTTTCATTTTAACTTTGCTGCATTTCACTTACAGACCTGAACTTTATTTCTTCTTACCACCTTTCCAAGAAGACTGTAACATACAACACCCACATCATGATCCCAGTGACGCTGAGCAGGGAGGCAACATTGTGCTTTCATCCTCTCCTCTCTGTGCACATCCCTGCTAGTAACTGGCCATGAACTAGCTCGTCTCCTCTGCACTGCTGTCCTTGCCCTGCTCTGTCTGAGCTAGAGGGGAGAAGGCTACACGTAGATGAAAGGAGAGAAAAATCACACCTGACAAGCCATGTCCAATGAAAGCAGGAAGCAGAGTTATTTCCTGTCACTACTCTTCAAGAAACCACAGAGGGCTCCAGGCAGACTTATCAACAAGCCATCTTCCCAGACAAGTATTGTGGTATGTATCACTTTGCTAATGCGTCACTTTGCAAATGTACACAATGAACTGAAATCACAAGAAAGGGGACTGGCAGGAAGTTAGTGATTACCATGGAGTTTCTTCATCTCCAGGCCTGACTCCCTACCTGGGGTCTTTAGGCTAGTGACATCTGAAGTCATCTGCATTGCCCAAAGGTGTTTGAAATTCTCAAACCAAAGTTAAAATCAGTTTTGTTTATAGTTTTGTGTGTTTGCGTATATACATTTTTTAAGGCAGTTTGTACTCAAAATGTATTTTATTTAAGATATGCAAGTTTGCCTCAATTTCAAACACAGACTAGTAACAAACTTTCAAGGGATTATCTTGTTAGTGCCTTGAGCCAAATAATAGCACCTTGTTTTCAAATGCCTTTCTTAACTGAATTAACTGAGCGGGCTTATGGAATCATAGACCATCAATTACTTCAATTCAGAATCTGATTCTGCTTGTTTTTTCTTAACTTTTTATTATGAAAAAACTTTAAATTTACACAAATGTAGTGAGAATACTATCATAAAACCACCTACGTATCCAATAT